TACTCTCCATGCCTCTTTCCCCTGCGTTAACTTTTAGAGTAAGGAAAACGGAAGAAATTGAAGAAGAAAACCGTAGCTGCCATGCATATTTGGAGTGAGAGAGACATCAATTCGCAGAATAATTTCTACGGTGTTCATTAGTTCATAGATGCTCAAACTGTCAAACTCAACCACGTCCAAAGTCAAACGTACTCATCTTCTACTCCAACTCAACATTAATATCCAACTACCTCATTCATGCCATCACTTATGGTTTTCCAATAATCCAACAATTCAAGATTTTACTCATAAATATGCTCAATATACTTATATTCAACCTCATTGTATGAAGTGGAATGAGAAAATTACCTCTTGAGTGATTCATGCATTCCAATGATTTTGCCACTGTCCTGTGAGTTCGGATACATTTTCAGGTTACATTTATAATTTCATTTGGCCATTAATTTGACCGTAGTAATTGTTACTCCCTCCGGTCCACAACAAGTGATCATTTTACCTTTTTATTTTGATTCAAATTAAGTGTTTATTTACACAACCGAGAAGAAATTAATTATATTTTTCCAAACCCTTATTTACATATTCCAATGTATCAAGGTAACAATTAATTAAAGTTAATTTATAAATATATCTTTTTTGTTCGTATTTTCTTAATTGGTGTGTCAAAGATAAAATGTTCACTTATTGTGGACTAGAGGGAATAAAACTTACGAGTGTTTATGAGAGATCACTCATTATGCTAGAATCATCGCCATTAATCATATTCAATTATTTCATATATGATAATGGTACTTAAGTTGGACAACCCATGATTGTGCTTTATTATACTCTCAGGTCTCTCTCTCTCTATATATATATATACGAGTTCCTCTTTATATATCACTGATGTAAACACAAAGTTTTAATTTTCTTGTGATAGTCATGCCAAATAAAAAGGTACAATTTCAAATGGGAAAAGAATATTAGTTCAATCGCCACGAACTAGTCAATTCAGTTGGCATTCCATGTGTTTAGATTTATGTTCCAATTTGCCGAATTCTTTTCTTTTTCTTTTTCTATCTGGAAACGTCTATCAAGTACTAGTTGATATACCAAGTAAGAGAATGAGTCTCAGCTTCCACTTTTGCGCATATTATTTCCTTCGTCCCAGTTATTTATCTTATTTTGTACTTACTATATTTAATTAGCGATCAACAGGTACTTCCACTTGACGTACTAAGGATCATACACATAATAGAAAAAAAGCAGTCAATGTAATTTTACGTGAAATAATTGAAATAGGTCTTAACCCAAAAAGTCATATGAATAAGTATGTAAATTAGCAAAATTTTAAATTGAGTATACTAGTTATTCTACGCAATGATTTGACTCTACAAATTAATAAGAGCCTGATTTTTTTACTACACGATCAGTAATATTCTTTTTTCTATTTTAAATGTTTTTTTGTAACTTGTAATATTATTTGATTAGTAGAATTTTGAAGTATCACTCATTTTCAGAGGACAAGTTAATCTAAGTCCTATTCAACCTAAGTAATAGTCAAATAGTTAGATCATCGAGGTAAGTTAAATAGGACTTAATTTAGAACAATGAAACTTTATTTCATTTCAATATGCTGATCAAAGCCGGCGGTAATAGAATTACCTCTGCTAAATAAAGTACCATAACTATTTAAGGAATTTTTTTCGTTCACATTTACGAAATATATTTTGGCAATGTAAACTAGGGGTTGACTGAAAAGCTTCGGAAGTCGATAATATATTAGTTGGTGTTCCTAGTCATTGACAGGGAAGCTTATGAGTTCGAGATTCTTGTCATCTTAAGTTACTGAATTTTAAATTAATACTTTATACATATGCTTTAAATTGTTTAAGACAAATACAAAATTTGAACAGAAATTACTAAATTCGACCTAACCCCTAAACTACATACTAGCTCCACCTCTATTCCTAGCTACATTTCTAATGAACGTGAAACAAGCTCGAGTGGTGCGCAATTGTTGGGTGGAATTTGGAAATTCTTTTAAAAGAGAAAGAGTCAAAAGATAGAAAATGGTAATTGGTCAATACATATTTTGTTGGGAATTATAATCATTGTAGTCAAACATAATTTCCCACTACAGAAACCGTTTTTCTCCATATCCACCATATTAGTTCTACCTTAAAAAGAAAACAAGTCTTCATCTCCTCGTCCATCGGATGAAGCTTCGAAATAATTTCTTAAATTAATTTTATTGTGTTTTGTTTAAATTTCTCTATATTTTATGTAGTTCAATATGAATGATGATAACTCCTTTAACTTGTTACTTTCCTTTCCCAGTCAACAACGTCGTTAATTTTCCTGTAGACATGCTTTAGTTGGATTACACGCAGAGGTACTTGGTGGTTAATCTTTGTCAAAATTCTTTGAATTATACTTGTTAGTCAATGTTGAATTGTTGACTTTGTTAGAAAATTTGATAGACATGCAAAATTCAAATATTAGCATACGAGAGGATTGACTTTAGGTTTTATTATTTCTCTCTGTTTGCTTAAGGCTCAACCAATATTTGCTGTAGAAGAGAATAGAGAAACCTAAAATGGATTTGCAATACTAAATATCTAAATCGCTCAATAAAATTAAATACTATATTTGGCTATTCTGCCTTAACATAATCCCAACAAGAGCCCTTCTTCGAAGTAGAAACATCATACAAGAGGATAATTGCCTAGCTGTTAGAAATAGATTTTGGATTTTAAGTTTATGGGTTTTGAATCACAAAATCTTTCTATTATTGAATTCAACTTATACATATTAAATAAATTTCTAAATATAAATACATCATTTGAGTGAAAGCTAGTGGGTTCTACGGAAGATATAATTTTTATTGTGGCTCCGCGATTGTGAGAGTGGGTAAGAGAATACGGACCATATTTTTCACACAATATTTTATTGCCGAAAAATTCTGGAAACTCTACTTTGCAACAGCAAACTAAACCGACTTCCCATGAAGAACTTTGTTAAAATGGATTAAAGATCAGTATATAAACAATAAAAACATGTTTAATAGAAATAACAATATCTTCAATAAGAAAAATGGTTACATTAATATTAAACATGTACATAACTAAAGCTATTGAGTTTCATACAACAACAACAATAACAACAACAACAACAACCACCCAGTATAATCTCACAAGTGGAATCTGGGGATGGTAGGATGTACGCAGCCTTACCCCTACCCTGGAAGGGCAGGGAGACTGTTTCTGATAGACCCTCGGCTAAAGAAGGTGAAGGAAGCCCTGATATCAAGTAATAGCAAGACAAGTAATTAGAAAACTAAATCGAAGATAACAACAGAGAATAGGAAAGGGAGCACCGATAATAAGTAATAGCAAGATAGTATATTTAGAGAAATAACTCCAAGGCACACACGAGAATATAAACGAAGTACTACTAGTGAACTACGGGCCGGGATTACCGATGACAAGTAATAACAGAACAAGACATGCGAATATAGCAAGCTAAGGAGGAAAAAAAAGAAAAAAAAGGGTACTATACTAGCACTAATACTATCGCACTAGAGAAGACAAAGGGAAACGCACGACTACCTACTAACCTTCTACCCTAATCTTCAACCTCCACTCCCTTCTATCTAGGGTCATATCTTCGTCCAGCTCAAGCTGCTCCATGTCCCGCCTGATCACCTCTCCCCAAGACTTCTTTGGCCTACCTCTACCCCTCTTATCACCTCCCAAGGCCAATCTCTCACATCTCCTGACTAGGGCATCTGTGCTTCTCCTCTTAACATGCCCGAACCATCTCAACCTTGCCTCACGCATCTTTGCCTCCACAGGGGCCACTCCCACCTTGTCCCAAATAACTTCATTCCTAATTCTATCTAACCTAGTATGCCCACGCATCCATCTCAACATCCTCATCTCCGCTACTTTTATCTGCTGGACATGGGACTTTTTGACTGGCCAACACTCTACCACATACAACATAGTCGGTCTAACCACTACCTTATAGAACTTACCCTTAAGCCTCAACGGCACATTCTTATCACACAAGACACCGAAAGCGAGCCTCCACTTCACCCATCCTGCTCCGATACGGTGTGTGACATCCTCATCTATCTCCCCATTATTCTGAATTATAGATCCCAGACATTTGAAACTCTCTATCCTGGGAATGACTTGCGTATCAAGTCTCACGTCCCCGTCTGCCTCCTGGGTAATACCACTGAACTTGCACTCCAAGTATTTTGTCTTGGTCCTGCTCAACTTGAAACCCTTAGACTCTAGAGTATGTCTCCAGACCTCCAGCCTCTCGTTAACGCCACCTAGCGTCTCATCAATCAGGACTATGTCATCCGCAAATAACAATCACCAAGGCACCTCTCCTTGAATGTGACGCGTCAAAGAATCCATCGCCAGGGAAAACAAAAACGGGCTAAGTGTTGATCCCTGATGCAACCCTATCTCAACCGGAAAGTAGTCAGAGTCTCTTCCTGCTATCCTAACCCTTGTCTTATCCCCATCATACATGTCCTGAATAACTCTAATATATGCTACAGGCACTCCTCTAGCCTCCAAATATCTCTAATGAACCTCTTTTGGGACTTTGTGATAGGCTTTCTCCAGGTCAATGAACACCATATGCAAATCCTTCTTCACCGCCCTATACTGCTCTACCAATCTCCTCACAATGTGAATAGCTTCAGTAGTCGACCATCCCGATGAAACCAAACTGGTTCTCGGAAATGGACATACACTTCCTCAACCTCCCTTCAATCACCCTCTCCCACACTTTCGTCTTATGGCTTAACAACTTGATACCCCTATAGTTGTTGCAGTTTTGGACATCCCCCTTGTTCTTGTACAACGGGATCATCGTACTCCGCCTCCACTCTTCAGGCATCTTCTTCGTCCTAAAAATGATATTAAACAACCTAGTAAGCCATTCCAAGCCCTCTTTACCCATGCTCTTCCAGAATTCCACCGGGATCTCATCCGGCCCAGTCACTCTACCCCTACTAATCCTGTGTAAGCCCCTACAACCTCCCCTACTTGTATGCTTCTACAATACCCAAAATCTCGCTGCCGCTCCGAGTACTCCAACTTTCCCAGCACAATGCCACTATCTCCCTCTTCATTCAAGAGTTTATGGAAGTAAGACTGCCATCTTTGCCTAATCTGTGCCCTCTCCAATAAAACTCTTCCCTCCTCGTCTTTTATGCATCTCACTTTGTTCAGATCCCGGGCCTTCCGCTCTTTCGCCTTCGCTAGCCTGTATAACTTCTTGTCCCCGCCTTTATTCCCAATCTCTTCGTATAAACGACTAAACGTCGCGGTCTTAGCCGCAGTAACTGCCAACTTCGCCTCCTTCCTAGCCTTTTTGTACCCCTCCCTATTAGCACTCTTCTGTCCCTCGTCTATACTCTCTACTAGCTTTAAATATGCCGCTTTTTTGGCTTCCACTTTTCCTTGCACCTCTTAGTTCCACCACCAATCCCCTTTATGGCCACCAAGAAAACCCTTTGAGACCCTTAACACCTCTCTCGCTGCCTCTCTAATACAATTCGCTATCATAGACCACATACAACTCGCGTCCCGTTACTCCTTCAGACCCTCATAGCCAACAACTTCTCCCCCAACTCCTGGGCCTTGTACTTAGTCAACGCACCCCACCTGACCCTAGGTATACCAAATATAGCCCTCTTCGTCCTCGTCCACCTGATCTCTAAGTCCATAATCAAAAGCATATGTTGGATCGTAAGATTCTCACTCGAGATGACCTTGCAATCTGTGCATAGACCTCAATCACATTTTCGGAGAAGTAGATAGTCAATCTGGGTCTTGTCCACTGTACTCCGAAAAGTTATCAGGTGCTCCGCCTTCTTCGGAAAACACGAGTTAGCGATCACCAGCTCAAAAGCTTTAGCGTACTCCAGCAGTGAAGTACCTCATCCATTTCTATCTCTAAAACCGAAGCCACCATGCACACTGTCATATCCCCCAGACGACCTTCCAATGTGGCTGTTAAAATCAACCCCTATAATAAGCTTCTCGTTGGATAGCATACCCCACACCAACCCATCCAAATCTTCCCAGAAGTGTCTTTTAACCTCCTCTTCCAAACCCACCTGAGGTGCGTAAGCACTAACTACGTTTAGAGTATACCCTCCCACGACTATCTTAATGGCCATCAACCTGTCATTCACCCCTCTTAACATCAATCATATCTCTCTTAGATCCTTATCAACTAAAATGTCTACCCCGTTCTTCCCTCTCAGCCTCCCTGAATACCACAATTTAAACCCATCAGCCTCCTGAGCCTTGTTCCTCACCCATCTAGTCTCCTGAACACAAGCTATGTTAATCTTCCTCTTATGGAGAATCTTTGCTAACTCTATAGACTTCCCCGTCAGAGTCCCTATGTTCCATGACCCCACTCTCAACCTAGAAGGTGCCTTATCCCCCCTGCCACTCTTCCCTCATCCCCCGCTCCCCCCAAGGACATGCCCTCACTCTATCATAGCTCGACACGACCACTAGACCAGCACACAGCTACAAACAGAATAGACTAAAAAGGAGTAGGCTAAACAGAAACTTACAGGTACACAAGGTGCTAAAGATATAGGCAAGCAAAAAAGAAAAAAATAATAAAAATACCGATATCACGAATGCCAGATATAGAACAAAAGAACCTGGAGCAAGTTTTCCTGAAGCGTGTCAGACCTGCTCAAGAGCACTGACAAGTTTTGTTGCATCCCTCCGAAAAGCTGTTCGGAAGTCGCCAGAATTTATGAAACTTGTCGGCAATCTGTACATACCAGGAAATAGTTTGTCCTCGCCAGGAAAAAGTTGTACCTGTCCAACGAAACAAACGCACCCACCCACACCCACACACACAAAAAGGGGGAAGAGAAAAAGGGAAAGAGAGAGAGAGAGAGGAAGAAGAGGAAGATGGAGCAGGGGTCGCCGAAAAAAGCAAAATCAGAAGGGTCGCCAGACTTGCAGCAACACGCACGTCCTGACTCCAACGGCGAGAACGGGAAAGAAAAGAAAGAAGAGGAAGGAGAGNAGGGATTAGAACGTTAGCAGTCAGTAAGCGTTAGTAGAAGGGAAGGGAGGAGAGAGAAAAATTCAGTCAGTGTGACTTTACTATTATAACAGATAAAATTATATGACATGTCTATTGAGTTTCATACACTTGCAAAAAAAAGTCCATCATGAAAAAGAAAAAAGGAAAAAGTGTTATCCAATCTGTATTGCTGTAAAATTAATAAAACAATAAACTTTCTGAAAAAACAGAAACAGAAAGTTACTAGAATAAATTCTGAAAAAGTATAGTAACTTCAAAATAAATTTTGAAGCATAGTATAGGAACAAATCGAGCCCACTGAATACACAATGTATCCTTAAGAAAATTATTCCCCTCAAATACCCGAGGTTCTGGAATATATCCTTCCAGGATAGAACGATTTAACTCACCAGCGTATCGGTATCAAAAACGTAGGTGAATAGTGAACCACTCGAAGGTTGTAAAACACACTGGAATTTTTGTGCAAAAGAAGAAGATAATCACAAAAATTTCGTAAGTAATATTCTGGGATTTGAAGGAATATTTATAGCCAATTTGGGTACTGTTTCTGAAAAGGTTTGCAACCTTTCAGAACAGCCATAACTGTTGGAACAGGTTTGACACTGTTTCAGAACAGTCATAGCTGTTCGAAATATTACGGAAAAAATAAAATGGATTTAAAATAATCCAGGAAAGAAAACGGACCGGACCGAATCGCGGGTCATGGGTTATTCCAGATTGAATTTTCGTTAATTAATTTAATTAAATATTTGAAAAGAATTTTGTCCAAAAAGATTAATCAATCAATCTTTAACCGAAGCCGAAGCCGAGCGAGCGAGCGACGACAACGGTGCGGGGCTTGCTTTCTTCTTAGCTCTTTAAGAGCTAAAAGATGAGCTTCTCTATATATACACAAAGATTTTTTTTCCTTCTACTAATGAGGGACAAAGTGCATTAGTAAAGTGAACTAATTCAAAATTTCACTTTCCTCTATTTCTTTTCCCACCATTTTTCATTCACGCCTCTTTTGTTATTAATAACAAAATCCAACAAAAAGTTTCGAGTACGAGATATATATCATTCTTGGATGCAGTTAAGAAGCTTGACCTACATGAGNTATGTATACACACACATAACATAAAATTTTGCTCCCGATTGAGAATTTTGAAGAAAAAGCTTCTTGAAGCATGATATTGTGAACTTACTTATCCTAATATGCTGCACGGGCCGGAGTCCCTAGAATATTGTCGCACCCGTATAGGATCCTCCAATAATACTCTACATTTGGAGAATTAGACATACACCAGACGTCATTTTTGAATAGTCCAAGCAACAATACAGCCTTATAGAGTTATATTTAATGCTAGCATTTACCGCGTGAACTTTTATGCACATCAGGTACATGAGAAGAGGAGGACATACTGAACAATAAAAGCCTTAATAATGGTGTATTGAGCAATTTGCTCAACTTGTTTTACCTCGCCAGTTAACCAGGATTTGATGTTTAGGAGTCAACTTAGTTATGTTTAACATAAACAGATTAACATGTTTATGGTTTTAAAAGATAGCTTAAAGGAATGTTTTTCGTTCCCAATTAGGAAATATATTTTGGCTATGTAAAGTTTCTTAGTCATTGATCAAGTCAAGATTTAAAGTTTATGAGTTCGGGATTCTTGTCATCTTAAGTTACTAAAATTAATAATTTGTTTTTATTCATTAAATTTTTTAAGAAAAATACAAGATTTGAACTAAAATTACTAAATTCGCCTGTAAGATGTACACTAGCTCCGCCTATGTTCCTAGCTACATTTCGAATGAACGTGAAACGAGCTTGAGTAGTGCGCAATTGTTGGTTGGAATTTGGAAATTCTTTGAGATGAGAAAGGGTAAAAAAAAATAGAAAATGGTAATTGGTTAATACATATTTTGTTGGGAATTATAAACATTGTAGTAAAATATAATGTACCATTATAGAAAAGATTTTCTCTACATCCACCATACTACTTCCTTAAAAAGAAACAAGTCTTCGACCTCATTAGTTTACATTTAATGGAGATTTAAATCTTAATTGTTTAGATCTCTAATATTAAATGAGTTTATTTTTGAAGTCTGGATCTTAATTATTCAGACTTATCATTAAGTTTGATTATTTTTTTATATTTTACAACCACTTAATGAGTCTTAATAGTTCTATATGATTAAGATCTATAACAAAGACTTAATTTTATTAAGATCATATTATCCACATTCATTATTAATTGCCATCACCGTCTACCATTATCAACTATTATCATGCAACCCACCACCACTATCTCCTCCTCCTCCTCAATCATAGCCGTCATCATAATCAACAACCACCAACCAGAATCCCCACTACTCCCACCACCATCATTCTTAACCACAACCACAAACTCATCCATCTCAACTACCACAACGAACTACCCTATCACCATCAACAACCATAGTCGGCACTGCCCACCATTATAAACTACCAACACATTTCTTAATCACGACAGCCATCACCATCACCCACCATTATTAATTATTACCACCTACCACCATCATTCTTAATCATAATTTCCATCACTTCCATTACCAGTAGCTATTACTCAGAACCACCACCATCAACCAAAAATACCACCAAACACTGCCTCTAGTCAGCATTCACAAGGACCACTGTTAGCCATTACCACCACTAACTACCATATTTTAAAAATCTATATATTTTTTATTGATGGAATATTAGATTAATTAGTATTTTATTTTAATTTTATGTTTATTAATTTTTAAATAAAGATAAATTTTATACATTCAGATGTTAAAAAACAAACGGTCTTAATTATTTAGTATTCAGATCTTCATACACATCTTAATATTCAAATGTTTATTCAGATTCAAATATCTTAATCTTAATGCATATCTTAATATTAAGATGTGTATTCAGATTCAGACGTCTTAATCTTAAAAAAAAAACTTCGAAATAATTTCTCAAATTGAAGAAATAGTAAATTTAACGTAGCTAATTTGAACTTTCGTGCTAAATTTATTGAAGTGTCAGCATTGAATTGAAATCGAATAAATTGATCCGAAAATCGTTCAATATGAATGATGATAACTCCTTCAACTTGTCCCTTTCCCTTTTCGCAGTCAAGAACGACGCTAATTTTCCTGTAGACATGCGTTGGATTACACGCAGAGGTAAAATTCTCTGAGTTATTGTGACGACCCGACCCGTCGTCTCGTGAGTTACTGCCCTATTTTCCCCATTTTCTATTTCTTTATGCTTTATTATCAGTGTTGGGTGTGAACGAGTTGATTTGGATTGGTTTTAGTAGGAAATGAGACATTTAGTCTCTTTAAGGAAGGTTAGTTTTGAAAAAGTCAACCGGACGTTGACTTATGTGTTAGAGGGCTCGGATTTGAAACCCGATGATTCGGTTAGCTTCGGGGGATGATTTGTGATTTAGAAGTGTGATCGGAAGTAATTTTGGAAGTGCGGTGTAGAATTAGGCTTGAATTGGCGAAATTAGTATTTTGGCGAATTCCGGTTGATAGGTGAGATTTTGATCTGAGAGTCGGAATGAAATTCCGAGAGTTGTTGTAGCTGCGTTAGGTGATTTGGGATATGTGTGCAAAATTTCAGGTCATTCGGACGTGGTTTGGTCG